TAGCACCCCCAGGCTCGGCACCCCCAGTCTCAGCACCCCCAGGCTCAGCACCACCAGACTCAGCACTCCCAGACGCAACACCTCCAGGCTCAATACCCCTAGGCTCAGCACCCCCAGGCTCAGCACCCCCAGGCTCAGCACCCCCAGTCTCAGCACCCCCAGTCTCAGCACCCCCAGGCTCAGTACCCCCAGGCTCCGCACCACTAGGCTCAGGACCGTCAGGCTCCGCACGCTCAGGCTCAGTACCTCTAGCAGGGCGGGACTCGACAGCTACCTCAACAGGGTCAACCGGGTCTACCTGGGACACACCTGAGGGAGCGGCATCCTGAGGGGGGAGGGGGTCTACCCCATTCTGATACCATGTCAGGACTTAGAGAGAATAGATGTCGATTAGGTTAGGGGGTTGGGTACAAAAGTGACGAGAGAATTCTTGTACCCCCTAGGAGAAACCCCTACACAACCTAAAACTAAATTATAACTAACATATAATTTGACACCCCGCTGTAGATCATAGGGCCTGCACAATGAGAGAAAATGTGAATGCAGTATAAAAACGTGATAATATCTTACCAGGAAGAGCTTCATCCTGAAAGTAAAAAAATACAAAGCCCCTGCAAATGAAAACGAACGACATGCAAGAAACTGCAATAACAAAACGAGAAACAAAAACAGGGCCTGCACGCAAGTCATACCACCTCCACCTCCCCCTTCCCTCCTTCCCCCTCACTCTCTCCCCCCCTCCGCTCCCTCCACGTCGCTTCATTCTCATCCCTTCGCGCTAGCCCCCAGCTCACCTCGTGTTGAACCATCGCAAGTCGAACCCCGTTGCGCCCGGCGCCACTCGAACGGACAGCGAAGTCACCAGCTCGTCCGCCGCCACTAGCGACTGCCAATGCCGAAGCCACTCGTCGAGGCGCACCGTAGCGAGAGCGCGAGCGCGAGGTGCACGGGAGCGAACGAGCGCGCGCGGGCAAGGTGCACTTGACCGACGCCGCCATGCCAATGCTGGGCAACGCGACAACCAGCGTGAGGAGCACTGAAGCGAGTGATCGGCCAATCGAGCGCGATGCCCCCGTGATAGCCGCTTTCTGCAAGCAGAAAAAAAAGGGGGGGAAGTAGGAACAAGAAACGAAAACAGAAGAACAGAGAGAGAAAAAGGGGGAAAAAAAAATAAACAATAGACTTCGCGTTCCCAGAGTTCCCAGACTTCGCGTTATGAGCAGCACGACAACCGACGCCGCTATGCCTGGCACTTGGCGGATCGACGAGGCCGTCGCTGAATCTGTGGCGGGAGGAGGAAATAGTTGTCTAAGAATATTCTATGGCGGACAGGAGAAACGAACGTGAACGAAAAATGATAAGAGACGAATGAAAGCAGCGTAGATGTACGTGAAAGAGCGAGGGGGAGAGGGGGTGGGGTAGGGGGGGAAAGAATCGATATGAAAGGGGAGGGTCAAGATTTGACAGTTGAGAAAATTGTGTGGGGGATCGACGGTTCACGATTCAAGCTTGGGAGGAACACTTTCCCCAGGGGCGCGTTTCTCATTGACGAGAAATGCTGTGTCAACGCGATGAACCCGGAGAACCGTCGATAAGTCGATATGCCGCTGATGAGGCTTCCACACCAGATTGTAACACCCCCAATAATAACCAAATATAACTAAAAGCAAGTAAAAAGGTGTTGTGAATCCTATACCCTTTTTCACACACACACACATACACACGCACACACACATGCACACACACATACAAAATCATGTGTGCTTCAACGTCTTCATGTGTATGTTTGTATATGTTCAACGCGTTAAGAATATTAAGACAGCATGGGTGACATACACACTATTATAGAAAATCAATTATGAAGGGTGCCTAACTGCTCTAAAATTCTGCGCACTCGAAATTGCAAGGCACTCATGCAACTTTCCATGACCAAAATAGGCTAGGTGTGTCCGGACCACAATCTTATACAACAGTTATTCAGATATGCGAATTCAACATTAAAAATAATATGAGCATGCTGGAAACTTTTGACGCCATTCGCTCAACTACTCATCACGTGACGCTTCTTTGTGCGTTTGATGGCATTAAATTGTGCAAGGATATGCATAGACGCAACATGTCACCGTTTAATCGTCTGGATGTTTTTTTTAGCCCTAGTTCTCCTCACATTTAGGTAGTACATCCTATTTCCTGGCCATAGGAACTGGTTTGAGATTATTCGCCCAACTGCGCAGCTCAAAACGCTTGTTTGTGCGTTTCATGGCATGAAACTGTGCAAGGACAAGCATATACGCAACATGTCCTCGTTTTATCATCTAGTCGTATTTTTTAGCCCAATTTCTCCTCACATTCAGGTAGTAAATCCTTTTATCTAGCCATAGGAACTGGTTTGAGATCATTTGCACAACTACGCAGCACGTGACGCTTGTTTGTGTGTATGATGGCATGAAACTGTGCAAGGATAGGCATATACATAACATGTCACCGTCTTATCGTCCAGACGTATTTTTAAGCCCAATTTCTCATCACATTCAGGTATTAGATCCTATTACCTAGCCATAGGAACTGGTTTGAGGTCATTCGCACAACTACGCAGCACGTGACGCTTGTTTGTGCGTTTGATAGCATGAAACTGTGCAAGGATAGGCATATACGCAACATGTCATCGTCTTATCATCTAGACGTATTTTTAAGCCCAATTTCTCATCAGATTCAGGTATTAGATCCTATTACCTAGCCATAAGAACTGATTCGAGGTCATTCGCACAACTACGCAGCACGTGACGCTTGTTTGTGCGTTTAATAGCATGAAACTGTGCAATGATAGGCATGTAGGCAACATGTCACCGTTTGATCGTCTCGATGTTTTGTTAAGCCATATTTCTTCTCACATTCAGGTATTAAATCCTATTTCCTAGCCATAGGAATTTGTTTGAGATCATTCGCACAACTACGCAGCACGTGACGCTTGTTTGTGAGTTTGATGGTGTGAAACTGTGCAAGGACAGGCATGTACACAACATGTCACCGTTTGATCATCTTGATGTTTTTTTTAAGCCCTATTTCTTCTCACATTCAGGTAGTACAACCTGTTAACTAGCAATACGAACTTGTTTGAGATCATTCGCACAACTACGCAGCACGTGACGCTTTTTTGTGCGTTTGATGGCGTGAAACTGTGCAAGGACAGGCATGTACATAACATGTCACCGTTTGATCATCTCTGTGTTTTTTTATGCCCTATTTCTTCTCACATTCAGGTAGTACAACATGTTAACTAGCCATACGAACTTGTTTGAGATCATTCGCACAACTACGCAGCACGTGACGCTTGTTTGTGCGTTTGATGGCGTGAAACTGTGCAAGGACAGGCATGTACATAACATGTCACCGTTTGATCATATTTATGTTTTTTTATGCCCTATTTTTTCTCACATTCAGGTAGTACATCCTATTACCTAGCCATAGGAACTTGTTTGATATAATTCGCACAACTACGCAGCACGTGACGCTAGTTTGTGCGTTTGATGGCGTGAAACTGTGCAGGGACAGGCATGTACATAACATGTCACCGTTTGATCATCTTGGTGTTTTTGTAAGCCCTATTTCTTCTCACATTCAGGTATTAAAACCTGTTACCTAGCCATAGGAAGTTGTTTGAGATCATTCGCACAACTACGCAGCACGTGACGCTTGTTTGTGCGTTTGATGGCGTGAAACTGTGCAAGGACAGGCATGTACGCAAAATGTCACCGTTTGATCGCCTGGATGTTTTTATTAGCCCCAATTCTTCCTCACATTAAGGTAGTACATCATATTCCCTGGCCATAGGAACTTGTTTGAGATCATTCGCCCAACTACACTTCACGTGACGCTTGTTTGTGCGTTTGATGGCATGAAACTGTGCAAGGATAGGCATGTATGTTACATGTCACCGTTCAATCATCTGAAATATTTTTTTTTAGCCCCAATTTTCCTCACATGCATAAAGCGACACTAGCGTCAATGCCTATCTGTTAACAATTTCTGATACATACTGTAATTGAAACGTATAGTGACATAATATGTGACGTCAACACTGTAGGAGACATGGTAATGTATTACTTAACAAAAAAATTACGTTATTTTGCACTAGCTGGCATGTTTAGGAGCACAGGAATAGTTAGTAGGCATGAGAAAACAAAACACATTATTTATGTCAATAATATGATGTGTTCATAACAGAAGCTAAATGACATGAAATAATAGAATGATGCAAGAAACACTCAAACCACATTATTACAATCGTGAAATCGCCAACACAGCAGATTCTCTCGACACCTAGAGCCAATGGGACACCAGCGCACTGTTCCCACAATGTTCCCGAAGCTGATATTGGCCCCGAACCTGTAAACCTAGTCACTCGACCAGTGGGGAGATTTCCGAAGCTGAGGTCCAAGCTGCCCAAGCAAATTCGAGTTTTCCCAAGCTGCGTGCCCTGGTTTCTGTTCGACGCGATGCGTCGAAAGCATCTTTCCCCACTCAAATCGAACAGATACTTCAATCCTACTTTCCGTAACCCTACTTTTCGGGAATCCCCATTTTTGGGATGTTACTACAGCATTCTATCTGCACCCGATGTCCTTTCCACACTCTGTCTATCTATTCAGGTATCGTGCTCGCCAACTTTCCGCAACGAACATTGTCAGTGTTGTCGCAAGCGACAGTTGGATGTTGTGATCTCTTGCGGTGCATCATAAACGGCAAGCGCGTCGTGTTTTTTTGCCGTATCCGCTTGCCTCTTACCTACGGTAGGTAGTCGTGCGTCGCGTGAGACTGGTCGAGCTGACATTCCTGTGGTTTGCATGGTTGGTGATCCGTTTTTCTCCTACCTACCTCACGGCAGACTCATTTGACACCAGCACATGCTTTCATCAGCCCCCTACACTGGTTGGTTGTGTGGCTGTGTTCGTTTGCACGTTCACCATGTCCGCACCCTGATTGGTTGCACTTATTGGCACATGACGAGTCGCCTTGGGTGTCGCCCGTATCGTCAGACGTCTAGTACACTCTTTGTGTGGCGAACATGTGTGACTTCGCCAGGCTATTCTCAACGAAAATTATTCTCGCTACTCTGCCATGTGGTGTTTAAAGCCCTAAATACGAAAACCACTTTGCCATGCTGACCTCGGGCTTTAAAACCCGCAGCCTGAATTACTAGAACGAGTCAACGCTTGGTTTGGGAAGAGGTTGGGGAGAGAGCCGGGTGGTTGGGTGACACTTTTGGGGTGGTGAAACCAATTTGCGAACACACAAGTGTCGCAACATAGAATCTGGGCGACGGAAACCAATACAATGAGGAAGGGATGTGACCTACAGAACCTCCGTCGACAAAAAACCAGCACACCATTACTAGCTACTAACTTAGACACGAAAGTATCGAATCTTAGTGTCCTCCAAGCGGCAGCATACAGATTCAATAGCTACATTGCGCGAACATTGTTACATTAGGGTTTTATTGCGAACACATTTCAGACAACCGAAATCCCTAGGTGCAGCGTGGCCACGCTGTCGAAGCACGGAGCAAATAGGCGTGAGGAGACGAGAAATTCGCGCTTTGCCCCCCTGTGCTGACCCTCGCCCATCGCCCTTGCCCTGCCCGCCCACCGCCCGTCGCCCTCGCCGCCTAGCCGCCCGTCGACCTCGCTTCCCTCGCCCATCGCTCTCGCTTTCCCCGCCTACCACCCTCGCCTCGCCTGTCCCCCTCGCTGCTTCCCCGCCCGCCGCCCTCGCATCCGCCCGTCACCCGCCCTTCTGCCCGTTGCCCTCCCTTCCGCCCACCGTCCTTCCTTCCCCTCGTCGCGCTCCCTTCCGCCCGTCGCCCTCCCTTCGTCTCGTCGCCCTCCCGTCCTCCCGTTGCCTTCCCTTCCGCCCGCCGCCCTTCTTTTCCCTCGTCGCGCTCCCTTCCCCCCGTTGCCCCCCTTCGTCTCGTCGCCTCTCTGTCGTTCGTCGCCCTCCTTCCCGCTCGTCCCCTCGCAATCCCCGTCTCTCTCTCCCCCCGTCGCCCTCTCTTTCCCCGTCGCCCTCCCATCCACTCCTCGTTGTCCTCGCCATCCCTCCCTTCTCCCTTCTCATCTCGCACACTTGTCACGCCCCCTTTCCCACCTGCACATGCACCCTTCCCATTCCCGAATAATCGCCTTTCACCCCCACACTGCATACATCTCTCCCTTTTCCCCCCATCAATCTCCCTGCTCCCCACCGTCCTCCCCCCAGCTCTCTCCCCGGCATCTCCCTCGCTCCCCACGTCCTCTTCCCTGCTTCCCCCCATCCCCTTCCGTGCTTCCCCCCATCCCTTTCCATGCTTCCCCCCATCCCCTTCCGTGCTTCCCCTCATCCCCTTCCGTGCTTCCCCCCATCCCCTTGCGTGCTTCCCCCCATCCCCTTCCGTGCTCCCCCCCGTCCCCTTGCGTGCTTCCCCCCATCCCCTTCCCTGCTTCCCCCCATCCCCTTCCGTGCTTCCCCTCATCCCCTTCCGTGCTTCCCCCCATCCCCTTCCGTGCTTCCCCTCATCCCCTTCCGTGCTTCCCCCCATCCCCTTCCCTGCTTCCCCTAATCCCCTTCCGTGCTTCCCCCGTCCCCTTCCCTCCTTCCCCCCGTCCCCCTCCCAGCATCCCCCCATCCCCTTCCCTGCTCCCCCCCATCCCCATCCCTGCCTCCCCCGTCCCCTCCCCTGCCTCCCCCCATCCCCTTCCCTGCTTCCCCCCAACCCCTTCCCTGCTCCCCCCCATCCCCCTTTCAGCATCCCCCCATCCTTTTCCTGCTTCCCCCCAACCCTTTCCCTGCTCCCCCCCATCCTCTTCCCTGCTTCCCCCCATCTCCTTCCCTGCTTCCCCCCATCTCCTTCCCTGCTTCCCTCTGTTTCACCCTTGCTCCTTCTGTTTCACCCTTGCCCCCTCTGTTTCACCCTTGCTCCTTCTGTTTCACCCTTGCTCCCTCTGTTTCACCCTTGCTCCTTCTGTTTCACCCTTGCTCCCTCTGTTTCACCCTTGCTCCCTCTGGTTTACCCTTGCTCCCTCCCCTACTTCTCTTCTCACTCTCTTCCCCATTGCTCACTCTGTTACAGGTGCCCAGCACCAGATGTGGCTTTACCACAGCCCGGTTTATTGCTTGCAGTGTAGCAGACAAAACCGGAAAGCAACATCAGACGCACACCCCCTATCTTTGTTCTTTTCTCGTGTTGAGTGATTCCTCTTGCTTTACAGATATGGTGATATATTGTTTGTTGAACTCCTTGGTATTGGTCGTGTGTATGACTGCTCTGAGGCTCATAATGCTGTATTATAAAAAGGTTCCAATACATGGCATGGCTATACGTCGTGTTACTATCAGACAGCCAGCCCATCACAACCAGATGCATAGCAGACCTGTCCAAACACAAACCAAGAAGTCAGATGTGACGTGGCTGAAGTACGGTATAAGGGAAACAAGCATGCAAAAGAATGACAACTGGCAAATGAGGAAGGGAGGAATGGAGGGAGGAAGTGAGGACTGCAGGAATGAAGGAAGGGAGGAAGTGATGATGGGAGGGAGGGAGGTATGGAGGACGTTTGGGGAAGAAGCAGAAGGGAGGGGAGGAAGAGAGGCTGGGGAGGAGGGTGGGGAGGAGAAAGGGTGGCAGGGAGGAAATGAGGATGGAGGATGGGAGGAACCGAGGGAGGTGCGGCGGAATGGGGTGACCTTGAGGTGGGGTGGGGCGGAATGGGGTGCTCTTGGGATGGGGTGATGCGGTATGGGGCAGAGGGTGGGGGGAAGGAGGGTTGAGGGTGGGGGGAAGGAGGGCAGAGGGTGGGGGGAAGGAGGGCTGAGGGTGGGGGGAAGGAGGGCTGAGGGTGGGGGGAAGGAGCGCTGAGGTTGGGGGAAGGAGGCGTGAGGGTGGGGGGAAGGAGGGCTGAGGGTGGGGGGAACGAGGGCTGAGGGTGGGGGGAAGGAGGGCTGAGGGTGGGGGGAAGGAGCGCTGAGGGTGGGGTGAAGGAGGGCAGAGGGTGGGGGGAAGGAGGGCTGAGGGTGGGGTAAAGGAGGGCTGAGGGTGGGGGGAAGGAGGGCTGAGGGTGGGGGGAAGGAGGGCTGAGGGTGGGGGGAAGGAGGGCAGAGGGTGGGGGGGAAGGAGGGCTGAGGGTGGGGGGAAGGAGGGCAGAGGGTGGGGGGAAGGAGGGCTGAAGGTGGGGGGAAGGAGGGCAGAGGGTGGGGGGGAAGGAGGGCTGAGGGTGGGGGGAAGGAGGGCTGAGGGTGGGGGGAAGGAGGGCAGAGGGTGGGGGGAAGGAGGGCTGAGGGTGGTGGGAAGGAGGGCAGAGGGTGGGGGGAAGGAGGGCTGAGGGTGGTGGGAAGGAGGGCAGAGGGTGGGGGGAAGTAGGGCTGATCTGCGTCGCGTCGCAGAGCACCTCATCTCGCATAGCTCTGCACAGCAGAGCAGAATAGAACAGCGCACTGCACAGCACTGCAGAGCAGAACAGAGCACACAACCGCACAGCAGAGCATGTTGTGTTGTGGCTCACCTGTAGCACGAGCACAGCAGCAGCTGTAGCACGCGCTTCCGGTTGTCCCTGTTGGGCTGAGGGTGTGGGGGCGGGAAGGGGAGAGGGGGCGGGAGAAAAATAGGATCGAGGCTATGGAGGGAAATAAGGGAGAGGGCGATCGGGAGAGGAAACGGGGAACGTGCGGTGAGGGATGGGGAGGCGACGGAAGGGAGTGCGCATGGGCGGCGGAAGGGAGTGCGCATGGGCGGCGGAAGGGAGTGCGCATGGGCTCCAGAAGGGGTTGCGTGTGGGCGACGGGAGGGAGTGTATGAGAGTACGACGGCTTTGCTATGATTTCCTAGCTTGATTATGCTTTATTATGCACTGTCTAGCTTAGCTTTATTTTGCTTTGCTTGCTTTTGCTAGATTTCCTAGGTTCGTTGCTTTTACTATATTATTATAGTTATAGGCACCGAACTAGGTTGAGTGCACCGAATTCTAGGCTTTTCGGTTGCCACCGAATTGCCTTCTACCGAATTCGGGAAGGACCCGTTCGGGACGCTTCGCGACCCGCGGAACCTTCTAGTAACACCAGGGTTACTGCCTTTGTGTCGAGCCTATATATAGCCTCGCCTTGTACCCAGGTGATACATTCAATAGAAGTATCTTTCCTGATCCAGATCATCACACTTGGCGTCAGAGCGGGTTTACACGCGAGGTCTTCAACCGCTTAGTTCCGGCCTTTAAAAACCGCGGGGGCAACGACGAAAGCGCCGATACGGGTATGTTAAAACCAGTTCCGCGCACTTTTTTCTAAGTCCCCCTCGATTCGGTTTTGAACACTCCTCAGGAATTTTGGTGAAAAAGTTGGAATTTCGACCGTCAGATCGATTTCAATCTCAACGGCCTAGAGAATTTCGCCCAAAAGGGTTGGAATTTCAACCGTCAGATCGAGTTTCTCCTCAACGGCCGAGATCGGACGCGAATTTCAGGTACGGGAGATTTACGCAATTTACAGAATTTGCCCTCGTCGATTCTACATTCAATTCGACTCGCAGTAAGTCGACCAGCACCCAGAACTTTATTATTTTCGTCGCGTATTATTAATCGCCAAAAGGGAGGGAAATAGAGATTTATTCATAGAAAAAATCACGGAGTTACGTGCTGAGCATAAGCAGATATTTGCGGCGCTCCCACGACTCGAAAAACTCCTTGCGAACCAATGGGTAGCCGCAGCAGCAGCAGAAGAGACGACGGCGACACCGATACTTGTACCTGCGACAACGGCAGCAGCTACACTTAATCTCGAAGCAGTAAAGCTGAGGCGACCAGACGCGTTCGATCCTAGAGCGAAAAGGAGCGACGTCCGTCGATTTGTAGCTGTACTAGAAAATTTCTTCGAAGCCGTTGGATGCACGACCCTCAACCAAGACGCATTGCGCATACGGCTCGCAGCAACACTATTACGAGGCCCAGCTCTAGAGTGGATTAGCAATAGATTTGTCCAAGGCGAAGAGACGTGGGCGCAGTTTCGAGCAGCACTGATCGGACAGTTCGACGCGTTGAACAGTAGCTACTACGGAACACGACGCAACCAGCCAAATAGTGGCATGGAGCGATTGGCATCACCCACGACTGCCGACCCGATGGAGAACGACAAGGACGATGCGATGCAGCGGCTAGCAACGAATACGACGTGCGAGTTTTGCGGGAATATGGGGACCCTACTCCGGAGCGCTAACAAGGGTCGAGCGTTCCGAGGAGTTCATATTCTCTCCCAGCAGCCCTGTTCAAAGGCTCCCGGCTGTTCCCCACAGGAGCCTACACAGCTGCAAAGGCTTAGGGGAAGGTTCCAGGCACAGGAGAAGCTGTTCCAGCCTCGGATAAATCCTTCTAACCCTGCTAAGTTGGAAACTGAGTCAGCAGCTTCGAGCGAAGGACCAAGGGACGATACATTTGATCTACCTTATGATCCTGTAAGCAACACCATCTGCAACGGGCGACGCCTCCAGGCACTGGTGGACAGTGGTGCGTCCCACTCGGTGTGTGACCGCGGGACGTTGGAGAAAATCGGAGAATCATCGGAGGAGACCCAGTTCACAGCAACGATGGTGGACGGTACGAAGCTTCCCATCCACGGCAGGTCAACACTGCAGCTGCAGTGTGTTACACCATAGGGGGTACACCAGATTAGGGTTTCCTATTCGTACTGTTGTTCTTGCTAGTCACACCATTCCTGTTTTCTCATTCTGACAAGGAAGTGTTGGAGCAGTACAAGGATATCATGCCAGACGACCTACCTGCAGGAGTGCCTCCAGCGCGAACCCACGAGCACGAGATCGTGGAGGAACGAGGTGTGAAACCCGTCTCACGTGCACCATACCGACTGAGTCCGACCGAACTGACAGACATGAAGAAACAGATAGAGTATCTACTGGACAGACAACTGATCCGCCCATCCACCTCTCCCTACGGCGCACCGGTTCTCTTCACTCCAAAACCAGACGGTAGTCTACGGATGTGCATCGATTACCGGGCACTAAACAAACAGACGGCACTGACTATAGCGCCAGTACTCATCCTACCGGATCCAGACAAAGACTACGTGGTGGAAGTAGACGCTAGTGACCAAGCAGTCGGAGCAGTACTGATGCAGCATCACGAACGCAGTTTGCAGCCCATCGCCTACCTTAGTAAGAAGCTGTTACAGTGGAAGAAGGACTTAGCTGTAAGAAAGGGATCGGAAAAGATTTGGGTACCGAACTATGCCCCGCTCTGACAGATCTTTTTGGAGGAGTTCCATGATGTGGCATACGCGGGACATTTCGGGAGCAACAAGACGTTAGCAGGGATAGCGAAGTATTACTACTGGCCCGGGATGGCAGCAGATGTGCAGCACTTCGTCACCTCATGCGACACGTGCCAGCGGATGAAGAGCAGCAAGCAGAAAAAAGCAGGGTTACTCCAGCCTCTACCCGTACCGGAGCAGCCATGGCAGGTCGTTAGCCTCGACTTCATCACGGGACTTCCTTCGACCTCACGAGGGCATGACGCTATACTCGTGGTGATCGATAAGTTCTCTAAAATGGGTCACTTCATCCCGACCAACGCCACAGCTACAGCTGAAGCAACTGCTCGCCTCTTCTTCGACCGCATCATCACCATCCATGGCATCCCCGCTACACTCATCTCAGACAGAGACCCAAAATTCACTAGTAAGTTCTGGAGGGAACTCAGAGCTACCTGAAGTGGGTTACACCATAGGGGGTACACTAGATTAGGGTTTCCTATTTGTACTGTTGTTCCTGCTAGTCACACCATTCCTCTTTTCTCATTCTGACATGGTATTACGAGTCTAGGTTTCACCTAGGACCGAAACGTTAGGGCCCACCGTTTCCGCTAGCCACGCCCTAGTGCGCCGCCTACCTACCTGCGCCCTCGTGCGCCTCTCTCTGCTAGTGCGCCCTCGTGCGCCTGTCATACGCCCTCGTACGCACTCGTGCGCCCTCGTGCGCCCTCGAGCCGCCCCTGCAGGTCCGTCAGGCCCCCGAGCCGCCTCTGCAGACCCGTCAGGCCCCCCCCGAGCCGCCTCTACAGGCCCGTCAGGCCTGAGAGCCGCCCTTGCAGACCCGTCAGGGCCACGCGCGGCCTCTGCTCGACCGCGCGCCGCCCCTGCAGACGCTTGCCGCCCGCCGCGTCGCCCTGCCCGCGGCGTCGCCGCCTCCTCGCGGCGTCGTCGCCTGCCCGCGGCGACGTCCCCTGCCCGCGGCGTCGTCGCCTGCCCGCGGCGTCATCGCCTGCTCGCGGCGTCGGCGCCTGCTCGCCGCGTCGCCCTGCCCGCGGCGTCGCTTCCTGCTCTCGGCGTCGCCCGACTCGCGGTGTCGCGACCTGCCCGCCGCGTCGCCCTCCTCGCGGCGTCGCGACCTGCGCGCCGCGTCGCCCTGCCCGCGGCGTCGCCAACTGCCAGCCGCGTAGCCCTGCTCGCTGCGTCGCCCCTGACCTAAAACTGCAGCAGCAGCCCCTGGAGCCGCCCGCCACTACAGCAGCAGCCCCTGGAGCCGCCCGCCGCTGCAGCAGCCGCCCCTGGCCCCGGGAGTCGCCACCGCTGCAGCAGCGGCCCCAAGTGTCGCCACCGTCTTGCGCATGCCGCGCCGACCACTGGTGAGCACTGCCCTGCCTGCACTGCTAGCACTGCTACTGCTGCTTCTGCATTTACTGCCACTACTGCTGCTACTGCTGCTCCTAGCGTAGCCAGATGCAGCTCCAAGGTCGTCCGAGTGTCTCCCTCACGTCGCAGCAGCTTGGTGAGTGGTACGCCAGCTGGTGTTGTCGGAGTGGCCGCAGTGGGAGTCGTTCAGGAGTCGATAGTTCGGGAGCTTCCTGTAGTGGCCCAGTGCGGCAGCAGCAGCGTCGCCCGTCCGAGACACTTTCGACCCAGCAGCTTCGTGAGTGGTACGCTCAGAGTAGAGGGTCGCTGAGTCCTGCTCGCTGCCCGTACGTTATTCGCACGGGTACTCGGACTGGTCAGCCTTGCGGGACGCGTAGTCACACAGAGTCCCACTGCTTCGCCCGTCTGGGCGACGCTTGGCGTACAGAGTTTGGCGACAACGCTGAGCTCCCCGACTGGGTGGAGCTGCTTAGGCAGAGGGTAGATATCTATGCTTCTGACTATGATGCTATCCTCACTGCCATGTATGCATTGTCTACTAGTACAGAGGGTGCCTGTCGCCTATGTGTGTCGCCCGATCCCGGTATCCGGTCTACTGCGCTAGGTACTGGTGAGGCTGCCGCTGTAGGTGCTAGTGTGTCTGCTGCCCCAGGTGCTGGTGAGGCAGCTGCTCTAGGTGCTTGTGCGTCTGCCCCCCCTGGTACTGAGTCGACTACAGCACTGCACACCTTCACACTGGACTCAGGTGCTTCTCGCTGTTTCTTTCGTGACCGCACTGCCCTTGAGCCTCTTGCTCGGCCGATTGCTGTCTCTCTCGCTGACCCCTCTGGGGGTCCGGTCATTGCGACCTCCTCCACTGTCCTTCCTTGCCCTGCGGTCCCGTCGGGCACACTGACAGGTCTCCACCTCCCCTCGTTCTCTACGAACCTGGTGGCAGGTTGTGCACTCCAGGACGGGGGGGTTCACCAGTTCACCCCTGCCTACGAGCGTGTGACCCACTGCACGTGTGCTCGTACGGGCCGCCACTTGTCTACCTTCACTCGGCAGCCGGGGTCGGACCTGTACACACTGACCACTGCGTCCCCTCAGGTCGCTGCGTCTGCGTCAGCGTCCGCGTCAGGTCAGCTGTCTGCCCCCTGCTCGTGTCGCTCTCTGGCGCACGAGACTGTCCTCTGGCACCACCGACTTGGTCACCCGTCTGTGCAGCGGCTTCGTGCCATGCACTCCAGGTACCTTGTCTCTGGTCTTCCCAGGGTCCTTCCTCCCCTCCCTCCCTCGCCTGCTCCTCCCTGCCTTCCCTATGTCGAGGGGCGGCAGTGCGCTGCTCCTCACTCCTCCTCGTTTCCCCTGACGACTGCTCCTTTGCAGACGCTCCACATGGACGTGTGGGGCCCAGCCCGCGTCCGTGGTCAGGGTCAGGAGAGGTACTTCTTGATAGTTGTTGACGACTACTCGCGCTACACCACGGTCTTCCCCTTGCGCACCAAGGGTAAGGTCCCTGATGTTCTGATCCCTTGGATCCGCAGAGCCCGTCTTCAGCTACACGAGCGCTTCCGCTCGGAGTTTCCTGTCCTGCGCTTGCACTCTGACAGAGGTGGTGAGTTCTCCTCCGACCTCTTGGCAGCCTACTGTGCTGAGCACGGCATTGAGCAGTCGTTCACGCTTCCAGCCTCTCCACAGCAGAATGGGGTTGCGGAGCGCCGCATTGGCCTGGTCATGGAGGTTGCTCGTACCTCCTTGATCCATGCGGCTGCCCCCCACTTTCTGTGGCCGTTTGCGGTCCGGTACGCTGCGCATCAGCTCAACCTCTGGCCCCGTGTCTCCTTGCCGGAGACCTCGCCCACTCTGCGGTGGACGGGGGAGGTTGGCGATGCGTCGCGTTTCCGGGTCTGGGGATCTCGAGCTTTTGTCCGCGATACGTCCGCGGACAAGCTCTCCTCCCGTGCTGTTCCCTGCGTATTCCTTGGCTTTGTCCCGGACGCGCCTGGTTGGCAGTTCTACCACACCACCTCGCGCCGGGTTCTGCCCTCTCAGGACATCACTTTTGACGAGTCTGTCCCCTACTACCGCCTCTTCCCCTACCGCACTACCCCGCTCCCTCCCCCGCCTCTCTTCCTCGCGCCAGGTGCTACTGTGGTAGACCCCCTCCCCCCTCAGGGTGCCGCTCCCTCAGGTGTCTCCCAGGTAGACCCGGTTGAGCCTGCCGAGGTAGCTGTCGACTCGCGTCCTGCTAGGGGTGCTGAACCTGAGCGTGCGGAGCCTGGGGGTGCTGAGCTTGGGGGTGCTGAGTCTTGGGGTGCTGAGCGTGGGGGTGCTGAGTCTGGGGGTGCTGAGCCAGGCGTTGCTGAGTCTGGGGGTGCTGAGCCTGGAGTTGCTGAGTCTGGGGGTGCTGAGCCTAGGGGTGCTACAACTGACTGTGAGGCGCGTGGAGGCGCTCCCTCTCCGCAGCAACTGCGTGAGTGGTATTCGCGGTACTGCAGCCTCAGGCGGGGTGCGTCTCGGACTCGCGGTGCTACTAGAGTTGGTGCTTGTGTTTCCCCGCCGCGGCGGGAGCCGCCCTCTACCCCATAGCTCCGGGAGTGGTACGCTCAGCACATCAGTCTCCGGAGTAGAGCTGCTGGTGCTGGGGTCCCCGTGGTTGACGCTGCTACTGGTGCTGCGGACCCTGGTGCTGGAGGTGCTGCTGCTGCTGGCGGTGCTGCTGGAGGTGCTGCTGGTGCTGCTGGAGGTGCTGCTGGTGCTGAGGACCCGGGCGTTGGAGCTGCCGGCGGTGCTGCTGGTGCTGCTGGAGGTGTTGCTGTTGCTGAGGACCTTGGTGTTGGAGCTGCTGCTGGAGTTGAGGACCCGGGGGTTGGAGCTGCTACTGGTGGTGAGGACCCTGCCGCTGGTGTCTCTGTTGGTTCTGGAGTTGCTCCACGGCCCCGACCGTACTTCGTTTCGCTCCTTCAGCAGGTTCTTCGTCAGCCTCCTCCTCCTTGTCCTCCTCCTTCCTTAGAGTGTCCGCAGTTGGTCCAGTCACAGCCACAGTTACCGCCTGCCTCCCCTCTCCCTGGTCCTACTCCTTACACTGGTCCGACTGGAGGTCTTACTGAGCGTCGTGAGCCTGAGTCACGTCCTGTGTCGCCTGCGTCTCGTCGTGTGTCACCTGTTCGTGCTGCTACCACTGGTCATCGTGTCCCGCGTCAGCGTCCTCCTGCTGTCCCCGGCACTCACCAGATGGCGCTTCGTCAGTCCACTGCTCCACAGCGTGTCCCTCTCCCGTCGCCTCCTGCGTCCTTTCTTCCTGCTCTTGCTGACCCGGCGTCAGACTCCCTTCAAGCTGCCAGTCCTACTATCACGCGTCTCCTGGCTACTGTTGTCACTGACCCTTCGTTTGAGTCCACTGCGGCGTCTGCCCTAGTTGCTGAGCTTGTCGACTTTGCTGCCACGTGTCGTCTGGACTACGCTGCGAGTCTGGTTGCTGAGTCTGAGTCTGTCTGTCCTCCGTCCGTCGGGGGTGAGTGTGCTCTTGGCACGGACGTCCTTGAGGACAGGCAGGAGGAGTTTGAGTGCTTTGCCGCTGCTTTGCCCCATCTCGTGTCCATGCTTGTTGCCCCTGAGGGAGACCCGGATGCTCTAGACATCCCGACCCCACGCTCTTACGCAGAGGCGATGACCGGTCCCTACTCCTCTCAGTGGCAGACAGCCATGGACGCAAAGATGGCTTCCTGGAAGTCCACAGGCACCTACGTCGACGAGGTTCCCCCACCTGGGGCGAACATCGTCAGTGGCATGTGGATCTTCAGGGTGAAGCGGCCGCCGGGCTCTCCGCCTGTCTTCAAGGCGCGTTACGTTGCACGAGGCTTCAGTCAGCGAGAGGGAGTAGACTTCTTTCAGACCTTCTCCCCCACCCCGAAGATGACTACTCCTCGGGTTCTGCTGCACGTCGCTGCTCAGCGTGACTACGAGCTCCACTCCCTTGACTTCAGCACTGCTTTCTTGCAGGGCAGCCTGCACGAGGAGATCTGGCTGCGCAGCCTTCACTGGGTCGTTCCCTCCTGGTACCCAGTGGAGTCTCCGGCGGCCAGTCTACGGTCTCCGCCAGGCGCCGCGTGAGTGGCACGACACACTGAGGACTACAATTGCGGCTCTTGGGTTTGCTCCTTCTACTGCTGACCCGTCGCTGTTTCTGCGCACCGACACCTCGCTGCCGCCGTTCTACATCCTCGTGTACGTCGACGACTTGGTCTTTGCCACTGCTGACACTGCTGGTCTCGCCCACATGAAGTCGGAGCTGCAGAAGAGACACACGTGCACAGACCTGGGTGAACTGACAAGCTACCTTGGCTTGCGGATCACCCGGGACAGAGCACGCCTCACCATCACCTTGACTCAGTCACACATGGTGCAGCAGGTCCTTCAGCGCTTCCGCTTCACGCACTCTTCGCCTCAGCCCACTCCTCTGCCTACCGGTCACTCGCTCTCAGCTCTGCCTTCGGATGAGTCCGTAGAGCCGAGTGGCCCGTATCCAGAGCTTGTGGGCTGCCTCATGTACCTGATGACCTACACTCGACCTGACCTTGCATACCCTCTCAGCATCTTAGCACGCTATGTCGCTCCCGGCCGTCACCGGAAGGAGCACATGGATGCAGCTAAGAGGGTGTTGCGCTACTTGTGCAGTACGTCGGGCATGGGGCTAGTGCTTGGAGGGCGAGACCGGCCTGTTCTCACTGGGCACTCAGACGCTTCTTGGGCAGACAACCAGGCTACTCAGCGGTCGTCTCAGGGTTACACCTTCAGTCTTGGCTCTGGCTCTGTCTCTTGGCGTTCTACTCGCTCTTCTTCTGTTCTCAGCTCCAGCTGTGAGGCTGAGATGTACGCCACGGCCATGGCTGCCCAGGAGCTTCGCTGGCTCACCTACCTGCTGACTGACCTTGGAGAGCAGCCTCGTTCTCCTCCAGTGCTGTACGTCGACAACAAGGCCACCATTGCCTTGTGTGAGGAGCACAGACTGGAGCACAGGACGAAGCACATTGCTCTGCGCTACTTTCTTGCTCGAGAGCTACAGCAGCGTGGTCAGCTTCTTCTGCGTTACGTGGCCACTGAGGCCAACACTGCTGATGTGTTCACCAAGGCGCTTCCGCCTGTTGACCATCAGCGCTTTTGCACTCTTCTAGGCCTTGTGCCGACTGGTCCTCACTTGCTCACTTCTTGACTCTGTTGTACTGTGATCACTATATATATATACCTGCATGTTTGCCCTTGCTAGATTGTGATCATTGTACCTCTTGCTCTACTATAAACATGCATGTGAACTGGTCTTGTGACCGCTTGCTTGTGCTCGGAATTTGTGTGGAATCCTCGAGATCCACCCTGAGCTTGCTTGCCTTGCTTTGCATTGACAGGTCTTGTGACCCCTAGGTCTCCCCCACTTTGCCTATGGGGGTGTGTCAAACATTATATGTTTGTGTGGTTTTAGGCTGTAGTGGGTTACACCATAGGGGGTACACCAGATTAGGGTTTCCTATTCATACTGTTGTTCCTGCTAGTCACACCATTCCTGTTTTCTCATTCTGACAAGGAAGTGTTGGAGCAGTACAAGGATATCATGCCAGACGACCTACCTGCAGGAGTGCCTCCTGCGCGAACCCACGAGCACGAGATCGTGGAGGAACCAGGCGCGAAACCCGTCTCACGCGCACCATACCGACTGAGTCCGACCGAACTGACAGACATGAAGAAACAGATAGAGTATCTACTGGACAGACAACTGATCCGCCCATCCACCTCTCCCTACGGCGCACCGGTTCTCTTCACTCCAAAACCAGACGGTAGTCTACGGATGTGCATCGATTACCGGGCACTGAACAAACAGACGGCACTGACAACAGCGCCAATACTCATCCTACCGGATCCAGACAAAGACTACGTGGTGAAAGCACACGCTAGTGATCAAGCAGTCGGAGCAGTACTGATGCAGCATCACGAACGCAGTTTGCAGCCCATCGCCTACCTTAGTAAGAAGCTGTTACAGTGGAAGAAGGACTTAGCTGTAAGAAAGGGATCGGAAAAGATTTGGGTACCAAACTATGCCCCGCTCCGACAGATCTTTTTGGAGGAGTTCCACGATGTGGCATACGCGGGAAATTTCGGGAGCAACAAGACGTTAGCAGGGATAGCGAAGTATTACTACTGGCCCGGGATGGCAGCAGATGTGCAGCACTTCGTCACCTCATGCGACACGTGCCAGCGGATGAAGAGCAGCAAGCAGAAAAAAGCAGGGTTACTCCAGCCTCTACCCGTACCGGAGCAGCCATGGCAGGTCGTTAGCCTCGACTTCATCACGGGACTTCCTTCGACCTCACGAGGGCATGACGCTATACTCGTGGTGATCGATAAGTTCTCTAAAATGGGTCACTTCATCCCGACCAACGCCACAGCTACAGCTGAAGCAAGTGCTCGCCTCTTCTTCGACCGCATCATTACCATCCATGGCATCCCCGCTACACTCATCTCAGACAGAGACCCAAAATTCACTAGTAAGTTCTGGAGGGAACTCATGGGACTGTTGGGGACTAAGCTTGCGATGTCTTCAGCTTACCACCCCCAGACTGACGGACAGACTGAGCGACTCAATCAGGTGGTTGAACAGTTACTGCGCACAGCTTGCAAAGACGACATCAGCCACTAGGATCAACAGTTACCAACGCTTGAGTTCGCTTACAACAACGCTTCACACGCGGCCACAGGGAAATCTCCTTTCTTCCTGTGCTACGGACGTGAACCACTTACACCACAGCAGCCAACTACACCGGCACACGTCCAAGCCGCACATGACTTCGTCACCACCATGTAGCAGCTACGGGAGAAGACTCAGCGACGTCTCACCACGATGCAGAACTCCCAGGAGCAGTATGCCGATCGCCAACGACGTGATCACACCGTAGCAGTCGGAGATCAGGTGCTTCTCGACACACGCAACTTGGACTTGTCTCACATTCCATCCAAGCTCCGGCCTCGCTTCTGTGGTCCTTTTCACGTTGAGGCACAGGTGACACCAGCAACATTCCGCTTGCGCTTACCTACTACGTGGAAGCTTCACAATGCTTTCCATGTTCAGCTGCTGAAACCCTACAAGGACCCCAACCACCAGTTTACAGGACGACAGCTACCGCCACCACCACCTGTTCTCGTACAGGATGAACCAGAGTACGAGGTGGAACGAGTTCTCGCTCACCGACGCAGACGCGGCAACACGCTCGAGTTCCTGATACGCTGGAAGGGATATGACCCGTCGGAGGACAGTTGGGTTGCAGAAGCTGATATGGGCAACGCACGCCGTGCTTTCAAGGAATATCTTGTCAAGCAGGGTTCTCACGCCACCCAGCTTTGAGGGGGGGACGTGTGAGAGTACGACGGCTTTGCTATGATTTCCTAGCTTGATTGTGCTTTATTTTGCACTGTCTAGCTTAGCTTTATTTTGCTTTGCTTGCTTTTGCTAGATTTCCTAGGTTCGTTGCTTTTACTATATTACTATAGTTATAGGCACCGAACTAGGTTGAGTGCACCGAATTCTAGGCTTTTCGGTTGCCACCGAATTGCCTTCTACCGAATTCGGGAAGGACCCGTTCGGGACGCTTCGCGACCCGCGGAACCTTCTAGTAACACCAGGGTTACTGCCTTTGTGTCGAGCCTATATATAGCCTCGCCTTGTACCCAGGTGATACATTCAATAGAAGTATCTTTCCTGATCCTGATCCTCACAGAGTGCGTGTGGGCGACGGCAGGGAGTGCGAGTGGGCGACGGAAGGGAGTGCGTGTGGGCGACGGAAGGGAGTGCGTGTGGGCGACGGGAGGGAGAGCGTGTGGGCGACGGCAGGGAGTGCGTGTGGGCGACGGAAGGGAGTGCGCATAGGCGACGGAAGGGAGTGCAGTTAGGCGACGGGAGGGAGTGCGCATGGGCTTCGGACGGGAGAGCGCATGGGCGACGGAAGGGAGTGCATATGGGCGACCGAAGGAAGTGCGGGTGGGTGACGGAATTGGAGTTTATTGTGCGGGATAGAGGGGAGTGAGCTGGGCGACGGGAAGAGGGTGAGCGTGGGCTACCTCAAGGAGTGAGGAGGGGCGTAAGAGGCGTTGCGCGGAGGCAAAGGGAGGGGAGGGAGCGTGATCGGACGTCGGGTAAGAAGCGTGAGGGACGGGAGGGAGTGCTCATACTCTGTTGAGGGGTGTGCGTGAAGGCGTCGGGAGGGGAGTGCGCGAAGGCGTCGGGAGGGGATGTCAGATTATGCATGCTATATGTGTTTAGGCTGTAGTGGGGTAGCCAATATGGGGTACAACCCCTTCTAGGGTTTGATACTTGTACCCAACTCCTGCATAGTTTATTTCATTCTTGCCTATCATTCCGACATGGTTTTAGAGCAGTAGGTCCGTAGGACCGTTCTTTTTTCAGGCCCACCTACCGCTACCCCACGAATGTGCCTGTGCCTAGGACGTGCTGCACTATGCGCGCTGTCTGCCTGCTGTCTGCTGCCTGCGCTGTGTGCTGCTGCTTCGAGCACACTGTCTAGTTTTTAGGGTTTAAGTTTTTTAGGGTTTTAGGGTTTAAGTTAAGCTGAGTCGCGCACTGCCCGAGCAGCCCGAGTCGCGCCCACGCAGTGCACGTGCGGCTCGCTGAAGCCCCACGCGACCCGTTCTGAAGCCGCACAGCACGTGCGCAGCCCGCACAGAGCCAACGCGACGCGCGCGCGGCCCGTAACTGCCCCGCGCAGCCCACATAGAGCCCGCGCGGCGCGCGCGCGGCCCGCTACTGCCCCACACGGCCCGCACAGAGCCCGCGCGGCGTGCGCGCGGCCCACAACGGCCACGCACAGCCCGCACGGGGCCCGCTCGGCGCGCTCGCGGTCCGCAGCGCCCCGCGCGCCTTCAGTGCAGCCCGCGCCGCACTCTGCTTGCCCGTACGCGGCCCTCGCCAGCAGAGCGCGCCGCCCTACCTGCTCGGGCCGCGCCTCTGCAGGCTCAGCGCGACCTCCTCGCCCCGCTCTGCAACTGGCGCGGCCCTGCCTGCCGTCGACCCTGCCCTGCCATGACCCTGCCCTGCCGCTGACACGACCTGGCCCCACCGCTGCCACGACCCGGCCCTGCCCTGCCGCCGACACGGCCCTGTCCTGCCGCCGACACGGCCCCGCCCTGCCACTGACTCGACCCGGCCCGTCACTGTAGCCGCTGCCGCGGCCCCGCTGTCGCCGTCGTCGTGCGCCGACCCTGCCGCCGTCCACCGAGCGCCGGCCCTGCTCGCCTGGTGAGAGCCTGCTCTCCCCGCCACTGGTGAGCCCCTGCCTTGCTAGTGCGCTGCCGCGTCGCTTGCCTGCCTGCCGGCCTGCCTGCCTGCCTGCCTGCCTACTGGCCTGCCTGCCTACCTGCGTGTCGCGCCTACTACGGCTGCTCCTGCTGCTACTGGCGGAGGCCAGATGCAGCTCCAGCGACGTCCGCATGAGTCCCTCACGCCCCAACAGCTGAGTGAGTGGTACACTAGTTGGGGTTGTCGGAGTGGTCGAGCTGCTACTGCTGCCACTCCTGCTGCTGCTACTACTGGCGGCGGCTAGATGCAGCTCCAGCGACGTCCCCGCAAGTCTCGCACGCCCCAGCAGCTTCGTGAGTGGTACGCTCAGAGTAGAGGGTCTCTCAAATCTGTTCGCTGCCCTTACGTCATTCGCACTGGTGCTCAGACTGGTCAGCCTTGCGGGATGCCTAGTCACATACAGTCCCGCTGCTTCGCCCGTCTGAGCAACGCCTGGCGTACCAAGTTTGGCGACGAGGCTGAGCTCCCCGACTGGGTGGAGCTGCTAGGGCAGAGAGTAGATATATTTGCTCTTGATTATGATGCTATTCTCAATGCCATGTATGCATTGCCTACTAGTGCTGCCCGTGCCTGTTACCTATGCGTACCGCCTGACCCGGGTATAGAGCCTGCTGCTCTAGGTGCTAGTGCGTCTCCTGCTCTAGGTACTGGTGAGGCTGCTGCTCTAGGTGCTCGTGTGTCTCCTGCTCCAAGTGCTGGTGAGGCTGCTGCTCCAGGGGCTGGTGAGTCTGCCCTCTCTGGTACTTCGCCTGCTGCGACCTTGCGCACCTTCACCCTTGACTCAGAAGCTTCCCGCTCCTTCTTTCGCGACTGCACCACACTCACGCCGCTTAGTCGGCCAGTTGCAGTCTCCC